GACCCTCTCTATTCTGGAGAGAGACGTTAACCGGCTCTTTAAAAGACAAAATCCCCGTAAGGCAGCCGGTCCGGACTCAGTCTCCCCTCACACCCCGAAGCATTGTGCTGACCAGCTGTCTCCGGTGTTCACTGACATCTTCAACACCTCCCTGAAGACATGCCACGTACCAGCCTGCTTCAAGGCCTCCACCATCATCCCTGTTCCCAAGAAGCCCAGGATCACAGGACTCAATGACTACAGGCCCGTCGCCCTGACCTCTGTAGTCATGAAGTCTTTTGAACAGCTAGTCCTGACCCACCTGAAGTCCCTCACCGACCCCCTCCTGGACCCCCTGCAGTTCGCCTACAGAGCCAACAGGTCTGTGGACGATGCTGTCAACATGGCCCTCCACTACATCCTCCAGCATCTGGACTCCCCAGGAACCTACGCCAGGATCCTGTTTGTGGACTTCAGCTCTGCCTTCAACACCATCATCCCATCTCTGCTGCAGGACAAACTCTCCCAGCTGCACGTGCCCGACTCCACCTGCAAGTGGATCACAGACTTCCTGTCTGACAGGAAGCAGCACGTGAAGCTGGGGAAACATGTCTCAGCCTCTCGGACCATCAGTACCGGTTCCCCCAAGGCTGCGTTCTTTCCCCTCTGCTCTTCTCCCTGTACACCAACAGCTGCACCTCCAGTCACCAGTCCGTCAAGCTCCTGAAGTTTGCGGATGACACCACCCTCATTGGACTGATCTCTGGTGGGGACGAGTCCGCCTACAGGTGGAGTCTGACCATCTGGTGTCGTGGTGCAGCCAGAACAACCTGGAGCTCAACGCTCTAAAGACCGTGGAGATGGTTGTGGATTTCTGGAGGAACAGAGCCCCACCCTCCCCCATCACCCTGTGTGACTCCCCCGTCACTATTGTGGATTCCTTCCGTTTCCTGGGCTCCATCATCACCCAGGACCTCAAGTGGGAGCTGAACATCAGCTCCATCACCAAGAAGGCTCAGCAGAGGTTGTTCTTCCTGAGGCAGCTGAAGAAATTCAACCTGCCAAAGACGATGATGGTCCATTTCTACACGGCCATCATGGAGTCCATCCTCTGCTCCTCCATCAGCGTCTGGTACGCTGCAGCCACAGCCAAGGACAAGGGCAGGCTGCAGCGTGTCCTCCGCTCTGCAGAGAGGCTGATCGGCTGCAATCTGCCGTCCCTGCAGGACTTGTTCGCTTCCAAGTCTCTGAAGCAGCTAAAAAGATCGCAGCCGACCCCTCTCACCCCGGACAAAACCTGTTTGTGCCCCTTCCATCTGGCAGGAGGCTGAGGTCCATCAGGACTACGACCTCCCGCCACACCAACAGTTTCTTCCCGTCGGCAGTCGGGCTCATCAACAGAGCCGGTCCCCCACTGCCTGACTATAACATTCCACCGGTCACTCCTTCACACTGCACATGCCACTTTAACTCATTTCTCACTCGTCACTTTGTCGTCACTCGTCACTTTGTCATTTGTTCGATAGTGCACTTTATTTTTAAATATTTTTAATTTTTTTAAAATATTTTTAGTTTTTAACTTTATTCTTATTTTATACTAACCCATAGCCTTATTCTACTAACCCATTGCATTTTATTTTATTACTTGTGCACTGCTGTCTTGTTGTCTATTGTTGCACTGTCTGCTGTCACGCACCAACTGCCAAGACAAATTCCTTGTATGTTTGACATATTTTGGCAATAAATGTTTCCTGATTCCTGATAGATGCTCCAATGCTTCCTTTATTAGCTTGTTTAGCGGAAAGAGGCTCAATGCTTGAGGAACACGTTGATCAGATTCAGAGGGGGTTTCCGTTGGGAATAACAGAGGTCATGTTTATGTTTCACTTACCTCATGTCCATCTTCCCAGGGCTGAATCCTCCCCGCTCGCCTCCTCTGCCTCCTCTAAAGCCGCCGCGCTCGCCTCCTCGGCCCCTAAAGCCGCCGCCGTTGAACCCCCCCCCGCGTTCTCCTCCTCCGAAAGCTCCTGATGGAGGAACAAGCGTTGACAAGGACCCAAAGTCAGACAGAAGGCAGACTTTCACCGAGTGAAGCGGCTTCAATGGGGACTATTTCTCTGTGGAAAGAAGATCCAACGTAAAGAGGAAAAACTACACGTAAACGATGTTCACAGCTACGTCAGAGGAGATGAGAAGAAGCAGAAGACTCTTTAAGTAATGACCAGCAGATTATTTTAGAATCTGACAGACAAACTACTGTGAGGATCTAACATCTGGGGACAAAGAGAAGAGAAGCTCAGGAACCGGTTTGTCCCCCTAGATATGATTATCATATATGCATATAGACATGAGGTCCTTCAGAGGACGGACTAGAACATGAGGTGTAGATATGGGGCGTGCTGGACTCGGACCTCTCTCCATCGAGGAGATGCCTCCTGCCTCCTCAGGCTTCGGGGCTTTGCACTGGTTGCACTCGTTACGCCACGAGAAGTTCAGGTTGTCACAGTTTCTGCAGAGGAGAGAGCAGAAGGTTCAGGAAGAAGTAAAAGGGTTGAGGATGAACACAGTTTATGAAATAAACCATGAGATTCATTTACAAATGGAAAAAAGGACCCAACTCACGGGTTTGTACACTTCCAGTCTCCAGCTCTCTGTTGTCCTCCTCCTCCATTGCCCCCGTTGTCTCCTGGGAAACCTCCAACTCGCCCCCCTCCGAATCCCGCCCGCCCCGTCGGACCTACAGGGAGCGGCAAGCTGAGGGTCAGACCTTCTGAGTCCTTCAAAGTCCTCAAAGTGAACATTGCTGAAGAAGACCATGTGACGCGGCTGAAAGCAACCAAAGAACCAACAAACATCTCAAACCGTTTCATTAAAATACCAACCTTGGAGTTCAGAGAACTTCTCACCTCCTCGTCCTCGGCCCCCCCTGGCTCCCCCTCGGCCCCCAAAGTCAGCTCTGCGGGTGGCGAAGGTCACCTTGATGGGATTCCCACAGAAGTGCTTCCCTGTGGAGGCAGACCACTGGATTAAAACATGAAGGCCCTGACCTTCACGAGGACACGCGGCCGGCACCTCACCGTCAAACCAGTCGATGGCGGCCTTGGCCGAGGGGGGGTCGTCGAAGGACACAGTGGCCTCCCCCTTCAGCTTTCCCGACTCCCTGTCCGCGTACAGGTTGATCATCGGCAGGCCGGTCTTCTTGTTGATCTGAGAGGACCAGCAGAGATCTTCTTCTTTTCCTGGAGGTTCACCTGAACTTGTGAATAATTGCGCAATAATTCTAGTTTACCTTGATGATCCCGATCTGCTTGAAGAAGTCGGCCACGGACTCCACGGTGTAGTCGTCTCCGAGGCCTTGGACGAAGATGGTGTTGTTATCAGCGTTATCCTGGTCCTGCACTGTGGAGAGAGACCTTCTGACATCAGTACTGCTGTGGTTATCTTCTCATTGAGCTACACTTTGTTCAGCGTGGAGCTCTGGACTAAACCAACACGCAAAGCAAACAATGTCTTTAGCGCCTAGATGGTCCTCTTTGGCAATGAAATCCTCTCCACACACACGCACAGACATGCACACGCACACACACAGACATGCACACGCACACGCGCACACACACATGCACAGACATGCACACGCACACACACAGACATGCACACGCACAGACATGCACACACACACACGCACAGGAGAACAGAAGCAGACTCACTGAAGCCGGCTCCTCCGGCTCCGTGTGCAGAGTCTCTGGGTCCTTCAGGGGAGAAGAAGAGAAACCCAGAGATGAAATGTGGAGAAGAGCAGCTGAGGTAAACACAGTGTGAGTCTGTGTGATCCACACCCTTTATTTACACCACCTTTCAGAGCCTCCGTCTGGCTCTGTTCATGTTTTACATCTACTCGTGTCAGTTCACACGCACTCCACCCTCTCTGGAACCCTCCAGCTGGGGACCCGTGTCACCCACTCAGGCCTCCATTGTTCTCCACACATGGGAGCAAAGGACTCTGGGTAATCACCAGCTTGGGAGCATTTCAAAGCATCGTGTTACACCTTCGTCAAGGAGACGCGAGAGCGTCAGATCTGACTTTTTTACACCATGTTTCATGTAGCTGAGGTTTTATCCAAAGAGACGACAAGTGCATCAACCAACAGGACCAAACCACAATGAGAGCTAATGGAGAGCCAGCTGGACCCGTCGTACAGGTGTGTTTCTTTTTTTAACCCTGCAGAGTCAAAAGATCCATGACAAGCTCTAACCCCCCCCCCCCCTCCACGAGGAATGCCGCTCGTCAACCGGCCTGACGGGTTACATACTTCCTTCATATACATTCCTTCATTCCGCGGGTGAACAATAAAAACAGTTCACCGAGCGTCGTCCTCGCCGGCTGGAGGCGGAGTCTCCGGATGACTTCACGTTTCGATCAAAGCCCTGCAGGTTTCACGTGCGGAGACACAGTGTTCCCCGCTGTTCCCGAGGGACTCACGGAAGTCAGTGATGGAGATGGTGTAAATAC